AATGTTTGCTGCCCCAGCCAAAGAACAGGTCTTTACCCTGACCTCCTGTTAACTCTCAGGGTCATGCAGTGGAAAATACCACCAGGCAGACCAGGGAGCTTTAACTCCAAGCCTACCAGTGACTTATCTCTTTTTCTTTTCAGAAAAGAGATCATATTATTTGTCTGAAACCTTGATTTGAAATTTATAATCTTTTACTTTGTTAATTCTCAATAAAAAGGTAAACTTTTTCTAATACATCTTCAAAGTAATTTTGATTGGAGGGAGGTCAGAAAGAATATGGCTTATAATAAGAAGATCTGACATCAAGGTCAAAGGTTTGGATCCCCATACTGGCCAGCCACCAAAAAAAAAAAAAAAAAAAGAAGGATTGACATGAATGCAGCTTAAATGTTTTTACAGACACACCAAAATACTTGTGCTTTCTTTGCTCAGGAGGAAAATTGGTAAACAGTTATATTACTTGAAGAAAGAGGGGAAAAAAATGTACAAAGGACAGATAGGATAAAAGGAGGTTTTATAGAAGCCTAAAGAATTTGAAAAAGTGCTGTATTTTGTGGCCATAGCCCATTAGAAATATTCAAGTTTTCTTACAGCAGATTTTAATTTTCTGCTGGCTGCACTCATTTGCCCCATGCCCTGATTTTCGGTTCCGTTTGGGAAGATCCAGAAGCTTGAGAACCCCCTCTGATGGCTCATAGAAGTTCAGTATCAACAGTATTTGCCTGATAATGGCAGATGTGCCAGGGAAATTAAAAATATGAAGACAGTGAACAACTTTTGTAGTCTGAGACTTAAATAAGATTTCTCTTGAAAGTTATATAGTAATTGCTAATTGAGGCTGTCCTGGACACTACTTGCTGGTTGACGTTTCTATGAATTGAGGATAAAAAGTATTATTTTTTGTCTACTCATTCATAGCTAAGAGAAAGGTAGAGGAATGAAGTTTGGGGATTATTTATGCAAGTTAATTAGTTTTGCTGTGATTTTTGGCCAAAGATTGCACAGTACTTGAATGTAAAGCCCTCTCTTGCCCAAATGGATGACTTTGGTTATGGATGATTTTAGTTTCAGGAAGAGAGGTGTTAGGATAGTGAGGGTAATTTCTGAGTGTTTATGACTCATTATGAAACTGTCATTGGGAGAGAATATGCCCTGCAAAAGGTAAATTATTTTATTTTTGTAAATAAAACTGTAGCCCTCTATATACATGAATCCAGTGATCACCTCATGGCTGTATCTATTAGTTTTGATTCTGTTAAACACCTTTCTATCATTTGATGATACTGAACTTCATGAGGTCTCTTCTGGTCCCCCTGAATGTCTGATCACTTCTTAGTTTCCAAGGTTTCTCTCCCTTAACCCTTAGGTTGCTAGTTGTGCTTGGTTCTACTCCTGATCCCTTTCTTCATATGACATCTGCTTTTGCCTGCTATTTGTGCTGGAGCTCTTATTCTGGGGGTCTGTGAATGGCCTTTAGACAGTCGGTGAAGCCCCTGAAAATATATGTAAAAGTTTTTTCTGGACAGTTCACAGCTTCAATAGATCCTCAAGAGTAGCAGTCTATGACCCCCAAAAGATTAAGAACAACTTACGCGTATGTTGATGATCCTCTTGTTTCTCTAGTCCACAATTCTTTATTGAGTTCCAGATTAGATTTCCACCTGCCTACTTAGCATTCTATCTGAATATCCTGTAGATACCTTAAACTCCACAGGTCCCAAACTAACCTCATCCTTACTCTCTGTCTGTTCTTCCTGTAAAACCTACCTGGTTTCCCCAGATGGAGACCTAGGCGTCAGTACTTTCTCTTCCATACACCCCCATATTTCCCATCTAGTTGCTCCCTAGATCATACCGGTTCTGCCTCTCAAATGGCTTTAAATTGATTCTCTTCTCTGTTTCCATTGCCATTGCCCCATGGCAGGCCCACCTCACTTCCTCCCTGAACTATTGCATTACGCTTCCCGCCCATAGTCTTTCTTCTTGTCAAGTCTGTTTTCCATTTTGTTACCATGCATCTTTTTAAACACAGATCTGATCACATTTCCAGGCTAAAAATCCACATTTGCTTTCTAGTGTCTAAAGGGAACACGACTCTTGGGGCCCTTCATAGTCTGTTCTTGATTTTTTTTCTAGTGGCATCATCATTTTATTCTGCCACTTCCCAAACATTCTATTTTCTAGCCACTGAGACTTTCTCTGTTCTCCAGACACAACATGACATACCTTTGTTCTAGTGCATATGCTGCTTTTGTTCTCTCCCACCTGTTTCTGACCTCCTGCTCAGTCTTCAGTGCCTGGTTTGGGCCACCCCTCTTCTTGAGGTCTTTCCCGACTCCTCCACTAAAGTTGAGATATTGCCTCCTCTCATGGTAGCTTGTGACTAAGTGCTGTTGCATTCACTTGCTCTTTTTTCCCCCCCAGACTGAACTCTTTGGGAATAGGGTTTCCATCTTTATTTGTATACCTGTACCATCTATAGTGGTTCCTGCACATGAGAGGTGCCCTTAACACCCCTTGAATGAGTTAGTGAAAGCCATCGGTACACACTTGTTAGGCTGTGATGTTACTTGTTTTGTATTATGAGTTCAAACACCGTTACTAGATTTTGAGTTACCTGAGGGCAAGGGCCTTGTGTTATTCATGTTTATAATGTCAGTGTCTCCCATAGTCTGTGCTAGAGAATGGATGTGTTTGAGAGAAAGAATAGCTATAGATGTGCCTTTCATGGTAAGTTCCCTGATTTTAGCTACTTTCAGTAATTTTATAGATACTATTTGGCTGTGAAAGATATCTTGAAAGTTGGAACTTTTTCCTACTAGAAATTAGCAGTCATTTGATTGTGCTTAACCATGGCCAATTTAAACAGCTTAATGCTTTCTATACAAATCTCAACTACTACACACTGTTCATCTTACCTTTTTATCGTAATACAGATGTCTTCCAGGCATTGGACCTTGGAGAGCAGTAGGGATGGTCATACTGCAATATCCCCCTTTCTTTCCCAGCACTGATCATAGTACTTTTTGTCGCTTGCCCAGACACTGTCATATCCCGGGTATTAAGCTAGGTGCATTGCTTACATTATCTCACTAAATCGTCACAGAATGAGGATGAGTTCAGAACAACAGGTTCAGAGATGCTAAGAGACTTGCCAAAGTTACACAGCTAGCAAGTAGCTAAGTCAGACTTCAGAATTCAAGTCCATCTAAATCCAGGACCTGTGCTTCTCACTCATTTTTCCAGTAGTAAAAATTAAAGTAGTTATTGTTAAAATGATATGTTCTTGGGTATTCACTTTCATGCCTTCCGATGTCATACTAACAGCTTATTTTTTCATTAAAACAAGACATTTTGTAAAGATTTTTAATACAAAATGATATGTTCTTGGGTATTCACTTTCATGCCTTTTGATGTCATACTAACAGCTTATTTTTTCATTAAAACAAGACATTTTGTAAAGATTTTTAATACAACATTGGTGAGTTTTATAGACGAAAGTTATCATCATGATCATAAAAAGTAAATGCTCAGTATTTTATCAGAGTTGTGCCATGCCGGGATTCTGTGTAAAGCAAAACAAACAGGTTCATTGCACTTCAGTAACTTTTGATGTGAAATTTATAATAGCCCTGACAGGGACATAGCAGTCTCAGTTAAGTATGTTTGTGAATTAAGACTTTATAGTACTTCCAAACAAAGGATACTTGTAATCATTGCAGTGGTAGCTGAAGACTAGGTTTAGGCAGGTGCATGTAAAGGGAAAATGTAGATCCTACTGCTCACCCATGTGATTGGGGAAGACCTTTGGAAGAGAATGTAGGATTTAAAATGCCTGCTTTCTAAATGTTCTCATTTCTTCAGCATTCTTTGCTATGCCTGCAAGATAAGTTCAAATTCCCTTGCCTCCTAGTCAAGGCCTCCCCAGGACAAGTTCCCCTGCTCCCCAGTCTGATTGTACTGCACTCTTCAGCCCCAACCCCTGGCATCAGCCTGGTTGGGCTCCTCCTTTCTTTCCTCTGTCCTCCCATCCCCCATAGCTGTCACATCAGTTCTAACTTTGTGTTGCAACCTGGGCCTAGCTTGTCTTCCCCTTTCCTTTGCATCTATCCATATCCAAAAAAGGACATTAAAAATGCACAGATAAAACCAGTTATCATACAGGTCACCATCAGTAGAGAAAGGGTATATTAACAACCCCCTCAAGTAGGAAAGACATAAACTTAGAAAAGAATAGTCTTTTAAATTGAAATAAATTTATTTTTTCTTTTTTTGAAAAGCTCAATAAATTCTTATTTTTCATATCTTTTCTGAGAACCAATAAAAAGTTTCTCAAAGACCAACTTTCAGGAACCACTGAATTAGCTGATTGCTCTTTCCTTGACAGGCAATTGATTTGGGCACTTTTCCATATTTTACCTCATTTTGTTGTTTGTTTTATAATTATATGTCTTTTCTTCCTTTCAAAATGGCAGTTGTTTTGTTAACAGTGTGTGTGTCATCCTCTTTTTATGCCGGGCATACATGCAGCTAAATGTTTTAAGTTGAACTGTATGTGTGTGAGATTGAGAGAATGCAGGAGGGTTAAGTCTTGGGGAAGGAGAGAGCAATAGGGGAGGGGCTGGATGTCTTCAAGAAAAGCTTTGGTGGTGGGAAACATTGGCTGTATTATTGATGGAGATTTGAACATTGAAAAATTAACTTGAGATCATATCAGTTTATAAGGCAATCATATATATAGATATAAGTTTTGGTGTTTTTATAAGAAAATAACTGTCTTTAAGTTTGATTCTTCATGGAAAATCTTTGATTCTTAAAGAGTTTTTTGACAAATTTTTCCCATATGTCTTAGATTCGACTGAGAGTTTTGAATTAAATTATAATGTTAATTGTAATAATACTCTCTTTATCATATGTCCAGTGTATGTGTACTAAAATATCTGTTCTAGAAACATGTAGGGGAAAAAAAGTCTATTGACCACTTTAATTTTTGTTAGTTTGAAGGCATGCATAAAAATGAAGCAGTAAGCCAACAACTTCATATATTGCGAAAAGAAGTGAAGCAGTTACAAGCAGAGGCTGCTAAACCACCCTCACTTAATATTGTGGAAGCTGCTGTGCATGCAGAAAACTTGATTACGTAAGTTTTAGAGGCATTATAATTTAAAATACTAGTTTGTTATTATTAAGAGTAATCATACATGCTACTACATCCTTATCCTCTCCCCTTCCCAACACCCAGTAATTAAATTAGTACAGAGATTGGCAAGCTATGGCCTTTGGGACAAATCCGGCCTGTTACCTATTTTTTTTTTTTTTTTTTTTTTGGTGACCAGTAAGGGGATCACAACCCTTGGTGTAGTGTCGCCTGCACTGCGCTCAGCCAGTGAGCGCACCGGCCATCCCTATATAGGATCTGAACCCACGGCCTCGGCGCTCCCAGCGCTGCTGCACTCCCAGCACCGCACTCTCCCGAGTGAGCCACAGGGTCGGCCCTACCTATTTTTATAAATTAAGTTTTATTGGAACACAGCCATCCCCATTTATTTATAATGACTATCGCTTTTATGCCACAAGGGCAGAATTGAGTAGTTGCAACAGAAACTTTATGGCCTACAAAGCATAAAATATTTACTATCTGGCTCTTTACAGAAAAAGTTTGCTTACCCCTGAATTATGAGATGATAGAGGGCATTGAAATTCAGTCATGGAGCAATTTATTTATTTATTTATTTATTATTATTTTTTTTTAAAAAGATGACCGGTAAGGGGATCTCAACCCTTGGCCTGGTGTTGTCAGCACCACGCTCAGCCAGTGAGCAAACCAGCCGTCCCTATATAGGATCTGAACCCGGGGCCTTGGTGTTATCAGCACCGCACTCTACCGAGTGAGCCACGGGCCGGCCCCAGTCATGGAGCAATTTAATACTTAAGTTTTATATCAAAGTTATATTTACCCAGGAAGTCATCATTGTCAACTCAGATTATTGAGCAAAGTTTACGGCACAATTGCCAGGGACAGTTTTAGGTTGCGGGTGAGGGAGGTTGACTCTCTGCCTTTTACTTTGAGGTGACTGCACATTCTAGTACCAGCAGCTAATCCTCTCAGTAACTTGGGATGGTGGTGGTGGGGGGGTGTGTGGGGTGCGGTGGAGCACGGAGTCCTTTTGTGAGTTGAGTTGGGAGCCTGGGAAGGAAGGAAGGCCTGGAAGGTGATCAGGTGAACAAGAGGTTGATATTTCTTTTACCAGGAAGGGAACTAAAAAAAGTGTGAGAATTAGAAGAGATATTTTTATTCTAGGATCTTATTCTATACAAAAATCTTTTGCTCAACCTTGGTAAGTGTTTTGGATTTTAAAATTTAGAGAAATCAGGGTTCTTGTGTAAAAAATATGTGTTGTAAAAGGAATACAAAAAGTTAAATAGTTAATTATGAATTACATACAAAATATGAAAAATTTAGTATGGGTAAGAATATTAATTAGTCCTTATAAAACAGCTGATTTTTTTCCCCTAGGTGAGCATAAAATCATTACTGTTTATTGAAAATAAATTGTTGGGTAAAGTTGGAAGTTACATATTTACCCCATGAAAAATTTCTAAAGTAACATTTGTACAGGGCTCTGAGGATTCTTAAGAATACTACCTGATAAATGTACAGTATCAAAGAAACACTGTGGTTGTGGATTCTTTTATTGTAGATCAATAGCCTTACCCATGTTTTCCCACAGGGCCTTAGTGAATGCCTACAAGTTGCAGCCTACACCTGGGATTCAGAAAGTTGGCATTAGCCTCTTCTTTACTGTTGTGGGTTATGTCAGTGATGAGACACAGCGCCATCCTCCCACAAGGCAGTTCTTTACTTCATGCATTGAGATCTTGGGTCAGGTAAGGGTGTTCTATGTTTTTAGCCTTGTTCAGGTATGAGTCCCTGCAGAGTCTTTATTAGATATAGTCAGTGTTGACTTCAGACTTATATACTGCAGGTTCAGAGTTTTCCATAAGTCTGAAGCCCCTTAGAATTGTTGGCTTCTCAAGATGTGAGTAGAATTCTTGGTATAGAATTTTGCGTCTCATACAAGGGGGATTAAATTATTCATATCTGAAAGTCAAGTGAGAAATCAGACTCTATCATATGTTGTTGGTGTTAACAGTAACATTACTGACATTTTTCATCATTTAAAAAAATACTTTCTAGTCATTTATTTCATTCGCACAGTTACTGTGAGTGATTGATATCATTCCCATCTTAAAGATGAGAAAGCTGGGCTCTAAAGATTAAGTGACTGGCCTAAAGAATACAGCTGGTGAGTGGATCCCAGGGCTTCTGATGACTCTCAGTGCTCGCTCCACCTCCCCACTGCTGCTTCCCAGTTGCTTTTTTCTTGGTCAGCATTTTTTTATCCATCTGGCTTACAGTTAAACACATGGATATTTAACAAGGGCAAGGGCAATGTATTCATGCAAAGGTATGCAATGTGTCATAAAAGAAAGGAAAGCCACTTGTTTGAAAAACATGTGAACACTAACCATGTACTCTCACCCAGATTCAATTGAATAAGTACTTACTTATTGGATACTTATAAGGAAGCGATGCTAAACAGGTGTTACAATTGATTTTTTCTCTAAGAAGTTTTTTTCCTGTTCATCATGTTAATGTGTGCTTATTATAAGCAATGCAGACAGTATAGAAAGTATAAAGAAGAAACATTTTTCAGAATTCTAACCACCTGGAGATACTAGTTACATAACTAACATTTTATTATAGTTTGTCTCATGTAGGTATGTGTATTAAGTATATGTGTATGCATATGTAAGTGTGATGTATGATATGTATATATATATATGCGTGACATATAAATATATATCGATAAATATAGATACACACTTAAAAAATGGGCACATGCTATTTTGTAACCTCCTTTTTTCAATTTAAAAACATCTATTAGACACAATTTTATGTTAATAATTACAGACCTGTGTCGTGATGTTGAGTGTCTGCATAGTGTTCATGATACAGATATATTGTAATGTATTGAGCCAGTGCTCTTTGGATGGGTATTTAGGTAGTTTGTTTTGCTACAATAAGGGTGAGGTAAATATTCTTGTACATCTTTGTGAATTTGGACTATTTTCTTTAGGGCAATTTTCTAGAAGTATGATTTTGCTATGTCAAAGGGATTTGATGTGTGTTGCACATTTAATATGTATTATATAACATTTGATGTATATTATCTCACTGCCTTCCTGGGAAGTTTGCACCTATTTATACCATCGTAGCAGCATCTGAGTTTGGAATTATCATTCTTTTTAAATCTTGCTAACCTGATAAGGGAAGTGGTATTTCCTTGTCATTTTAATTTGTATTTCTTTAAGGATTTGTTAAGTTGTATGTCTTCATATGTTTATTGACCATCTATATATAATTTTGTGAATTGCTGGTTGTTGTCTTATGCACATTTTCTGTTGGAGTTTCTTTGATTGCTTTGAAAGAGCTCCTCAGACTATTAACCTGGTATGTGGAATGTGTTATCAGCACATTTTTCTAGTTTGTCATTTTTCTTTAATTTTATAATACTTGTACTTTTTGCCTTATAGAAGTTAAAATTTTGATATATTAAATATATCAGTCCTGTCTTTTATTATTTCTGCCTGTAGTCAACCTTATCAAAGCCTTTCAGACCCTGAGATTATTTAAATATTTGCTTATATTAGGGTACTTCAAAAAGTTTGTGGAAAAGTAGAATTGAAAGATAATACGAATTTTTCCACGAACTTTTTGAAGTACCCTCATATTCTAGTACTTTTAAAAATTAGAACCAGGTTAAAACAAGCTGAAGTTATCCTGATTATGTATTAATTGCGAAAGTTAGCTTCTTAAAGGTATTAAGTGCATATCTCAATAAAATCTAACCATTTTCTTGATGTAATACAGAATGACCTTGGATATTTAGTAATCATGGAAGGCACATTGCAAATGTCTGGATTCAAATTACCTCAGTATTTTAATCTCTTTAAAAATTGTATAGTATAGTTAATTCAGAATTTTTTATATGCAGTTTGTCCAAATTAGATTAATGGGCTATCTAGAATGTTTAATATCACCTATATTGGAAGTGATAGGCTTATCTACATTGATTTTAGACGTCTTTTGATTGTTTCATATTTTCACTTAGAAGAAATTATTTAGAACCCGTTAAAACTTGGTTGCTTAAATAAAGGTTGGGGAGGGGAGAATTTTGTGACATTTTTCCTTTTTATTTTTTCAAGGTGTTTATCAGTGGCACTAAATCAGAATGCAAAAAAGTACTTCAGACCATTCTGAAGAATGGAAGGCTCTGCTCTCTCTTGTCTCCTTTCTTTACCCCCAATGCTGCGCCTGCAGAGTTCATACAGCTATATGAGAAAGTGGTGAAGTTTCTAAGTGAGGACAACAGTGATATGATTTTCATGCTGCTAACCAAGGTGAGATGTGATTCAATCCTGATGTTATTGTTGAAACATAAAAATGATTGTTGCTTTTCACTCCATGGAAATGGAAAGTCCTTTGGAGGTTCATTTCCAGGTAGACCATAGGCCAAGGTCACATATTGCATGATCTTTGCTCAAAGATCCTGACCCAACAGCTTCCTCTATAGGGATGGAGCATTGGTTCTGTTGTGTAGGACAGTTGTATTCCATGAAGTATAAAAAGGACCTAGTTACCAAGCCCTCTTTAAAAACTTAGTACAGTTTTGAAAATATTCCTAATAGTAGTTTAGTACATCCTTCTTTTGAATTTATCCTGAATTCATGCCTAAATTGGGTTTGATAAACAAGTCGTAATATGTCAGAGTCTGTCATATTTAGAATAAGCCAGATCTAAGAAAATTGCCTTTGTCCTCATTCTGAATAGAATAGTAACTCTGTTAGATCAAGGCAGGGAATTTACTTAACCAGTTGAGAATTTCAGAGCTTTAGCTATTTTGCCTTTAGTTGTATTTCTCCAATATCTATGAATCAATAAGACCTTGGCTTTTTTTAGGATCTAGAGACTGATCTCAATTTGTAGTAGAGGAGAACATGTTTTATTGTTCGGGATTCTGGAAGGTAATATCAACAGTCTGAATTTTTATTAATTGACACAGGTAACTAAAGCAAACTCAGAGACATGGATGTTAAATTGAGACAGTTCCATAAAGTGGCTGCTTGTTTGTGACACTCTGACCAGTGAAGGAGAACCTACAAAGTTCTGATCCAGGTCTTGGAGAAGAAACTTAGCATAATAAAAGAGACAGAAATGTATGGATCTTTCAGGAACAGAATAAAACTATTTACCAGTAATGCATGGTCAGTAAGGTTTTAAATTATAAAAAAAAAATAGCCCGCAGAGCTAAGAAACTTTGCCTCTGACACAGAGAGTGAAGTAGAGATGGACACATAATGGCACCAATCAATTAGTGAACTTCTTATACCCTTTTGCATACTTCTATGAGGGTACTTCAGAAAGTTCTTGGAATGATTCATATTATCTTTTAATTCTTTTTCCACAAACTTTTTGAAGTACCTTTGTGTATACATCTTAGTTTCAGTTTTTATAAAAAAGGTAAATGCTAGATAATCTTTGACTTTAAAACTAAGTTTGCACAGACCTCTGTCTACTTCAGTTAATTTTCTAATGTAAATAAAATTGCTTCTTGTTTCTTTTTCTTTTTAGTTCGATCTTAAGCAATGGTTAAACGCCATTAAACCTCCTCTGTCTGATCGTACCAGGCTTCTGGAGTCCATTCATTTGGCACTTACTGCCTGGGGCCTTGAACCAGATGAAGATATTTTGATGCCATTTAATCTTTTCTGTAAGCACTGGACTTATCTTCTTCTCTACCAGTTCCCTGACCAGTACAGTGACATTCTCAGGCTGCTGATGCAGAGTAAGTATCGTCATTTAATTGTGACTAACTAGATCTCAGTGAATATTTAATATCAATATCATGTTTACCATTATGCAGATGTCAGGAGTTTAGAGTCACTAATGAGTACAGGAGTTTAGAATCACTAATCGCTACCTAAAGGGCTCAGTGAATAATGCCCAAAAAGTTGATATTTGTAAAAATGGTCGCTTATTGTCCTAAATATTAGAATGGGCCCTAATTGGGCAAAGCAGCACTTAGTCTTTGGTGTTGGAGTCCACAGTCATGCGCTTTTTACCTCTTCACCTTGACTTTACAGCTGTCCGGAAGTGAGTGGGGTGGGAGGGAGCCTATGTACTCTGCCGACAATGGATCTGGTGATGTAGAGAAGTTGTCCCTTTACAATATGTTTAATATGCCAATTGGTTTCTCTCTAGTTCCAAATAGTGGATAGAGTTTTGGGATTTGTTTTTTCCTCCTAATTTTTTGATTCTTGTTTTTCGCAAATGAATTTTATCCCTATATAATAATAGACTATATTTGCTAAGGAAAAGAGCAGCATTCAATTTTCACATCCCCCATCATTTCTGTCCTCTACTTTCTGCAATTTTTCATAGGAGTGTTGGGATTAGAGGAGGAATAAAGGGTGTGGGCTTTTTAATTTTTGGAATTTCACTAGGCAGGAATTTTATTGAAATTTGATAAATGAGATAGTATTCACTCATTTCATGTGAACTTCATACTGTTGATAGATATAATGGAACACTAAATTTTACTTTATACCAAATCTTTGTGTTACTTAAGAGAAACTGTTTAATGGATAAGTTAATGATCTAATGTATTGGGTTACCTAAAGGATCCTGAAATGTATGGCCTCTCATTTTCAAATCACTTTAAGCTTTAATTGTTTCCTGCAGAGGCAAATTGCAGAGTGGGTAGAGAATGGTGGTAGGGAAATATATTTGTCCAAATTTTAATGAATATGTGCATAGCTAATTTTTATTCTAAACGTTCAGAATTTGATAATGTATGTATTGTGGGTTTTCCCCTGAAACCTTTTAAAGAGATTGTAAACTGTTTATATAGGCCACCATTGACTTGTATTTAGCAGGGAATTTATACTTACCAGGAAAAGTATCTCAGTTAGAGGCTTAAGAGTAACAGTGTCACACCTCTCAGATTCCATGACTTAAAGCCTCCTGGTTTCCCTTCCCTTCCTGGCTACCATGTTGGTGTTCCCAGGGTTCCATCTTTTGTTTTACAGTATTCATTCTCCCTGGGTGAGCCTGTTGTTTTCCCTGGCTTCACTGCCATTTTCTAGGCATGCATGATTCTCACACTGATAGCTTGATTCCAGGCCTCTGTCCTAAGGTATAGACTGCCGTAGCCATTGGACACAGACCCTTCACTGTCCCCTAGCTACCTCAACTTGACACACTACGACTGGCCTCCTCGTCTTTCCCATCAGACCTGCTCCTGTGAACCTCTGTTGTCCTACTTGATTCTCATGCCCCCTCTGGGTGGAAAGTACTTTAGGAGGTATTATTCCTGTTCGCTGGGATGGGAGGTTTCTAAGTAGCAGAGTTGGGACTAGTTGGTCTCTACTTTTCCATGCTGCCTCTGGGTTTTGGTTTAGGTTTTGCCAAATGTAGGAGTGGAATTTCAGGGGTAGTAGGAGACTCCTTCCCAAGAGTCTAGACTCTGGAGTTGTGTTCTGCACCCAGTTTCGCTTGTTCTGTTTCTGTCTTTTCTATCATACCTGTAGACATCTGCTATCCTCCATCAGGGAAAATGGCACCTTCACCATTCTCTCATCAGGGTCGGTGGGTGGTCAGTTCAAGCTCCAGTGGCTTCAGCTGTGCTCACTCCCAGCAGGGTTACCAGGAAAAGCAAAGTCAAATGATCAAGTGGTCAGTTCATTTAATAAGTCTTCTTTACTTTGAAGAGTTACCACATATATTGTTTTGGAGTTGTACTTCATTTTCATTCCTTTGTATAGTACACGTGTGCTTTGATTCAAGCTGGAAAAGTTAGTTTGGGAAAGATGCTGATTTGCTCTTCTCTGTCCCTGTCCACAGGCTCTGCTGAGCAGCTGCTGAGCCCGGAGTGCTGGAAAGCCACTCTGAGAGCCCTGGGCTGCTGTGCCCTGAGCTGCCAGCAGAGGGCAGCATCCGCTGAGAGCTCGTTGCTTCCAAGCTCTTCACATGTTCTCTTGTCAGACAAGCAGGTGTGCAGCTTTTGGTCTCTGATGTGTGGGCATTTTTTCCCCATTCCCTTGCTGTTTATTTTTTAAACAATTGGAGCATATTTAAAATGATCTAAAAAGCTGCTTTTGGATAATATCTTGCCTAAAAAGCTGCTTTTTATGTATTATATTTAAGAGCTCTGTGTTTTCCTTTGACAATTCTTTGCTTACCCTGTGAACCCCTCTGCCTGGATCGCCTTTCTCTCCTATCTCTGAGTCTAATTTTATCCAACTGTCCAAGACTAGGACAGGTGCACCCTCTGTATAAACTTTCTCTTCTCGTCTTATCCTATCTGACTCAACCCTGAGACCACTGGTTGGGTGTCCATGCAGTGTCTCACAGAGCTCTCAGTTTTATCAATTTTATCTGATATGGGTTTACACAAGAATTTATTTGAAATAATTGTTCCACTGCTTTAGAAAAAGAATTTGAAACCCATTGATTTATTTTTCATATGCTTTATTTTGTAATTGTATTATATTGTCAGAGACCTACTATATCCCCATCACAGTCTATCATAATACTCTGCTAAGAGTAGACATTCAGTAAGCATTTTTTGACTGGTTGTCTCTTCCAGGTAATTGAAACTATACAATGGCTTTCAGACTTTTTTTATAAGCTTCGGTTTTCCAAGTTGGACTTTAAAAGCTTTGGCTTATTCTCAAAATGGAGTCCTTACATGGCTGATGTGAAGACACTCTTGGGCTATCTTGTGAAAAGGCTAATTGACTTAGAAATGGCCTGCTTGGCCCAAGACCCATCTGCCAACAGCAAAGCAGGTATATGCTTTTAGTTTAGCATGGAGCTAGGTGTTCTGACTTTCCATTAAAAGTGATTTGAATAGACACATTAGGAGATTTATAATGAGTGTCAAGGAGAGGAAATAGAAGATATATAGTACAGATGTGAGCCTATATATGTGTCATACCTATATGCATTATGTAGTGAACATGAGGTGCTTGCTACGGCTTGTTTCTGCTCCTCCTTTGTAGGGTGGGGTGTGAAGAGATTGGTTTGTATCTCCAGTTCCTTCTTCCTGTTACTTATCTAGCTAAGGAAATGGTTCTGAATATTTAAGCATTATCTTGGAAAAAATATATGTTATCAAATTATCTATGACATTTTGTGTAGTAAAAAATCTTCAAAGAAATTTCATTGCAGCAAATGAAAACATAAACATACTTTGTTACACTAAGCATGTTATTTGTACATCAACATAGATTTATGAATATACAGATAAGAAGTAGGTTTTCTATATAATGTTACCAGTGAATGATAATGACAAAGGATGAGCTTGTTTCTTGTTTCTAAAAATTTTGCTGTTTTAGTGCTGAGATCCCTACATTCAGTAATCATCCAGCTCTTTAAGCCATGGATCCTGGTTTTAGAGGACAATGAAAGGTAAAAATATTTTTAAAGATTCAAATTCCTTTGAAATTTATATACTTAAAAAAGTTATAATGTGATTGGTATCTACATTCAGTAATCATCCAGCTCTTTAAGCCATGGATCCTGGTTTTAGAGGACAATGAAAGGTAAAAATTTTTTAAAGATTCAAATTCCTTTGAAATTTATATACTTAAAAAAGTTATAATGTGATTGGTAGGGGTGATGAGTTTGCAGATTTAATTTTTAGTGTAGGGCCATATTAAAATTTAGAAAATGCTTCTTTATGAAACTTAAGACATTTTCTATTTATGGAATTGTTAGTTGGGGTGGTCAGAGATATTGTCTTAGTATTAATTTTGGAATGAAACTGGACACTCATTTCCAGTTTTCTACAGATTCAGAAATTAAAATTTTCATATAAAAGAATTTCTTTGGCTATTTCCTGCTTGTTAATTTTTGGCCATCTTTTTTTACATGGATTTTATTTATTTGTTTTTCATGCTTTGGGCAGAGAAAACATCTTAGGTGTTTTTCTAAAGCATTTGAAATGTAAACGAGATGTTCAAGGGTGTAAATGGATGTAAAAAGATGTTAATTTAAGCTGTTGCCTGTCGCAAGTGCTCCCAAGCCACCACACTGAGGTGCTCTAGAATTCTGCCCAGCATCAACATCACACTGATCGGGCTGTAATTTGCCACCTCTGCCTTCTCTTCTCCTTTTGTTTAAATCAGGAAAAGGTTCTCCTGTCTCCAGATTTGGAGTACTGCTCCCATTGTCTGCGCTTGAACTGTTTGTACGGTGCTTTTGGTTGCGAAACGCTTCCGAGTGCCCAATTCAATTTATTCATCAGCCCGTGCAGTCAACACTATCGTCTCCGTTTTACAGATGACAGCACCAAGGTTCAGAAAAATCAAATGACTCGACCAAGGAAGAACATAGAGGCCATCAGCCTCAGAAACTCTTCCGGTCAAGATGGCAGAATAGATGGTCCCTAGCGTCACTCTCTCCCACAAATCAACTGATTTAAACTATAAAAACATAACAACAGATGAATGTGGAATGGAGAGACATCCAGCGGGGGAGGCAGAAGCTCTTCGGAGACCACATGCCCTGCAGGGCCACCGTCGCACGATCCGGCAGATAGGCTTCACTGCCGCCACCCAGCTCCATTCCCAGCCCAGCCTACTGCGCTCGGAGAAGGAAGGGAGACGTCCGGCAAGGGAGGCGGACATTTGGCAGAAAACACACACCCTGCGGGGCCGCCACTGTGAGATCCAGCAGCCCAGCCCAGTGTGCACAGAGTGGGGAGAAGTCCGGCTAGGGAGGCAGAGATTCGGCAGAAAACACACACCCTGCAGGGCCGCCACTGCGAGATCCAGCAGGTAGGCTTCACCTCAGCCAGCCGGCTCCATTCCCAACCTGGCCAAGTGTGCTTGGAGAAGGGAGACATCCGGAAAGGGAGGTGGAGACTTGGCAGAAAACACACACCCTGTGGGGCGGCCACTGAGAGATCCAGCAGGTATGCTTCACCGCCACCACCCGACTCCATTCCCAGCCCAGCCCAGTGCGCACAGAGCGGGGAGACGTCCGGCTAGGGAGGCGGAGATTCGGCAGAAAACACACACCCTGTGGGGCCGCCACTGCGTGATCCAGTAGCAGGTAGGCTTCACTGCCGCCACTCGGCTCCATCCCAAGCCTGGCCTAGAGCTTACAGAGCAGGGAGACATCTTGTAGGGGAAGGGGAAGCTCTGCAGAGACCACATGCTCTGCGGTGCCTCGGTGCATCCCAGCAGCCCGGGCCAGAGCGCAGAGAACAGGGAGAAGCCCTGCATGGGAAGTGGAAGCTCAGCAGAGACCACACACCCTGCAGTACCGCCCCATGATCC